TACGCTTCCTCATACACGTGCGCTAACGTGTAAGCCGAAGTAGTGGGCACGTAGCAAGCCCATTACACTACCCTATTAGAAGCCGTTTGAAAATCACACCGCACGCAAACGACCAGAGCCCACAGTGGTGTAGAGCACGTTGCCATCACCGGTACTTATGCACGCTACTGCGATGTACTAACTACAACTTATAATTGTAGTTGGGCTGAGCGTTCTAGAATCCGTCTAATATAAATTGCGTTCTCGGGTTCACTGTCAGTGAGGTGTCTCCACCACGAGTACTTTAAATTCCACCAACTACACGTGCCGTGTTTAACGCGTGGCCATTGTTTCCTTAAAGCATTTTTCGGATTAGTGTCAAATAATTCTGTTAGTTCATGCAGAGATCCAGTTCTCCGGAGGCTATTCGCTCTTAACCGTGCTTGAAGTTTGCAGCCTCAGAACGACAAACGCAAGACCGCGTAGCACGTGCTCGTACAATCAAAGTAGGGAAATCGCAATACCGCAAGGTTTCACCGCCATGTCCGATATTGCACGGGTCTAATGCTCCTGGTGTTTAATGCTATTGGTAAGAGCCGTTGAGCCCCATTGCAGCTTTTCGGACCGGGCGTAAATACTTCAGCCGACTTTTTACCTGTGTGATAAATTATTGAAGGTTTAGCCTATAATTAAGACGTCAATAAGGAGTATAAGGCCACTTGCTAGCGCTACAAACCAGATAAAAAGTTCCGTTTTACGCTATTTTCTAGTGATCCGCATTGAAGGGGCGTTTTCTATGGAAATAAAACCGGACCTCAGTTTAATAACGTTTACCTCAAACCCTATCTCCAAGAGACGCATTTAAACCCGAAACACCAGAGTCCAAATCGGGAATCGTTCTTCAACTCATTTTTTTTTTGCTCAAATTGGCCCCAGTACGCACGATTGTAAATTTGTGGCCCTATCCATTCTCAAAATTTATGGTTACAAGCTGTTAGAACTAAATCAGAGCTTAAATAAGAGAAACACGATTATAGAGGGGGCTTCGCTACAAAAAATAGATATCCCAAATAAGGCTTACCCTCTAGTTAAGGGTGGTCTCCCATTGACCGTCAGCATACAAGCTGATGCAACCAGGTAACCAACGCAGAGCGGGTAGGAAAAAAACCGTCAACTAGCACAGGCCTGAATGCTGGACAACAGTATTTAAAGCCCGCCATTTCAAAGTAATGCCCTGCTTCTTACAGGTTAACCAATTAGTTCCAGTCTAACCAGATAGTACCGTCTACTGATTTGTTCGCCTTTGTGCGGCAACTCCAATCAAACATATCGGTCGCCTGCTTCGCAGCCGTGCCGTCAATTAATTGTTACAGTAAAACAAGAATGTCGAGAGAATGTAAAACCAGAAGAATATATCGTCACATTTAATACCAGTTCTTTAGAGGACAGTTACTACAACGGCTAATAATATATACGAAGTAAGAATTGTTTCAAGCTTGAACCGATTTGGAAGGATACCCATTGTTAGCACACGCGTATTCTAATCGGATCGATGCGGAGCTCGTGACCAGGAAGCTCACAACCTCGGAACATCTGCGCCAGCAGCAACTTCATCCTTACACTTAGTCCGTTGACTCAACCGCCCAATATTTACACCAACTGCGTCTCATTTTGGACGGCCGGACGCCCAAAGCTGCCACCACGCCACATTTGAGGTCGTGCGTCGCCAAGAATCCTAAAAATCGACAAGCGGGGAGTTTCTGTATTCATCCACGACTACGAGTGTGGCCTAAAACTTAATATTTGCAGCCTTCACCTTTGCCATCGCGATCTGCCCACGCGAAGCACCTGGACAAGACCACCTCGCCCTGCATAGCGATCTTCCAATAGTTGAAGCTGAAGTAGCCAGCGAGCTGTGGTAGCGCTATATTCGGGTAGTGTACGGTTCGCTCTATTTTCATCCAATCACTAACTACATTTCAATAGCGCTATATTTAGATGATGTCGGTATTTTCCATTTCATCCAATTAGAATACGTTGTGACAACCTCCTCTACCAGCCTCCCATCGCTTTTCTTCAGTGAGAAAAGCGCCAAGTTCCAGCGAGTGTCATGTCGGGGCTGCGCGCTGCTGCTCGCTGTGTCTTGGGCGCGTCCAAGCGCTCTTTGCGTCCTCCGCAGGTGACGGCATGTCGTGCCTTTATGTCGACGCGTGCGCCGGACTCGCTATTCCAGACTCCGTCCTTTCCCATGCCTGAGGATCCTTCGCTGTGGAAGAACAAGTACCCGCGCGCAGACCCGTCGCTCTTGTGGAAGGTTGGATCTTTCCCTCTGCAGAGCGAGCTCCAGGAGGAGGAGGAAGGAGCGCTGGCTTGCTCTGAGGACTTGTGGGACACGCCTGGCATGCTCAGCTCGCTGCACGACAACCTGCCGTTGCGTGACGCCGCCGACATGGACATGGACGCACTGTTGCGTCAGATGGACGGATACCTGGCGGATAGCGTGGTCAAGAAGCGACGGAAGAAAATGAACAAGCACAAGCACCGCAAGCGCAAGAAAGCGCTGCGTATGCGCACCAAGAAGAACTAGGCAGGATCGTGGAGTTAGACTGGAGACTGATGATAGACCCCATAAAATACACCCAGTGGTTGTGCTAACCAAAAGTTACAGATAAGTAAGTGGCGTCTATTTAGAATAAACAGACGCCTCTTAACGCTCAAGATGCTGAAGAAGCTTGCGTCGCCCAAGAAGCGAGCTGCGTCTAGCCGTGCTGCGAGGTTCGTTGTGATGCTAGTTAGATGATACGTGTTCAGGTAAATGAGCACTTCGTGTTAGTTTCGATGTTCCTGATGCTGCAGAGTCGACAGTGAAGTCTCCCGAGAAGAAAAAGAAAGAGAAGAAACCCCCCAAGGAGCCAAAACCTCCCAAGGAGAAGAAGGACAAAGCCAAGAAGCCGAACGCAGCTTTACTCGAAGCACCAGGACAAGTTCCTAACGACGAAGCCAAGGCTGGCGGCGCAGATGTTGATACTGAAGCAAAATCTCCATCGCCCCGGAAATCGATAGGACAGAAGTTCAGACATAAATCGTTTTTCGACTCGGACAATGACAAGTCTCCAACCAAGATGTCTCCGAAGAAAAAGTGTGTTCCACGCTGCGCTACAAGCAACAAAGCTATTGACCAATAAATACGTTCTGTATGTTGCTGTAGGTTGATGAAGCTCCCCAAGCCTGAAAAGAAATCCAAGCTCGTGGACAACAAACAAGACGCAAAAGCTCATGACGAAGCTCTCGAACGCAGTACGGATTTGGACAAAGTTCCACTTACCCCATCGAAACCTGATGCAACCGAGTCGCCAAAGCGCAAAACTCGCTGGAAAATCCCCGACATGAAGCATCACAACACTTCCAAACCATCAAACAACCAAAAAGAACTAAATGAGACAGACCCTACTGACAACAACGGTCGACAGAGTTCCCCTTCTCCTCGTGTTCGTAAGAAAGATAAACGCGATAAACGTCAACCAGTCGACTATTCCAGCGACAGTGAACAGGAAAACCAGACAAATGGTCTGTCCCCACTGCGTCGACACAAACCGGAATCGGACGACACGCTGCCGCTTCCAGAGTCTCCATACAACACGTACCGCCTTCAACAACGACGAGAACATCTCGAGGTACCTCCTGTGTACCAACCTGAAGTTCATTTGATCGGTGAGATCGTCAGTGGCCACGGATTCGGAGTTTATGGGGGCTTGACGTGCAAGTGGCGCGTCGAGTATGGCAGTCGCTGGAGTCTCGTCGCTGGAGATCAGTCCGGCCAAACGCAACTTGACTATCCGTCGACAGCTCCGTGGACTTCCGATCCAGACGTGGCTGTGTGGTCTCACCCGATTGACTTGCACTTCGCGACTTCAGCCTTCCAGGGATGGCCCAAAACGGCTCTTCCAAGTGTGGAGAGCAGACTCAAGCATGAAGTTGCATGTGGTCGGGTACGGCTTCGTGCCAGTGCCTTTCGCTGCTGGTCAGCACAAGCTCTGGGTTTCACTGTGGCGTCCACTTGGTACTACGATGGAAGAGCTGGATGTACAGCTGCTTGGACGCACTCCAGAGTTAAGGAGTGATGACGTTCTGTTCAATGCAGCATGGTCAGAGAGATGTCGACTGCGAACAATCTCCACTGGAAGAGTTCTTGTGCATATTGGTGTGCTGCTTCGACATTTCCAGGCAGATGTAATTGAAGCGTAGCTGATACAGAAGACAGGTGAAGAGAGACACGATACTCAGCGAGTAATGGTCAAAAATTACCACATTACCACCAGTCTTGCTACTGCTGCTGAGTGGATATCTGTGTCTTCATAAAACTGTGAAGTAAAATACAATCGTGGTGCGTAGTCTTTCAGTTGCTAATGGCCATTTGCGACTCAAGTTCGTACACGAGTCGAGAGATCCGAAAGGGGTTGCCTTTGGTACCCAACAAGCGCTCGTCGTTGGAGATTGCTTCGATGCTACTGTCAGGAAAAACTGGGGTAGAACACTATTAGTTTTTCAACGGGCCATCAGGATAAAAGATTGAACGTACGCTGTCGGAATTGTCTTGAAGTCAAATGTCCTCGTGCTAGCTTGAAAAATAGCTTGGCACTGTCCGATTTCCCCAGCTCCTCGACGTGAATGGCTTCTTCAGGTATGGCTTCATCTTCATCGGAGTCAAGCCGTAACTTTTCGGTAGATGTCAGCAGGATCTGTGCATGAAATATTAGATGACGACAAATACACGTAAGGCTCGTCAAAGAATACCTGAACACTGGTAAAAGACCGAATGATGTTCAACACGAACACTTCCAATGCTGGAAGAACGACATCACAACCGTCTAAGACCAGAAGTGTGGTTGGGTAATTTGCAGGATCCGTCCTACAACACCGTCGTTAGCAACTTCAGTTGACTCATTTTGCTGTGGAAGAACGTACTCTGGAAGTGAGCGCAGTAGAGTTTCGACCCCCTCGATAAATTTTGCCAAGGGGTCTTCGCGCTGATTACTTGATTGCGAACATCCATCGCCTTGGGTGTCCTCCGGGTTTATCCTGTTTTGAATGTGTTCCACCAACTTGTCTACAGCAAAATAGTGAACTCCATTTCGGTATCCTCTCGTGCGGTACGACATTTTCGCAACATGAATGGCAATTGACGACTTTCCGACTCCTCGCGGGCCGTACACGTTGCAAACTCGAACCTTCTGTGCCAACACTGCCTTGACCTGGTCACCAGGCGATGGTGTTTAGTTATTGCGCTTGAATATTTCAAAGTAGAGATGCCAAACAAGCAATACCTTTCGGACTTGGGTATCCCGTCCGAGGAAATGCGTTGCCAGAACGGGGATAAATAGCGCGTTGAGCAGGGCGATCACGTTTCTATCAGGCGCCACTGCTTCTGTAATAGGAGCCCCAACCTGGATATTGTGCACCTTTGAACTTGGTAGCATTTTACAGATCTGATCAGCTGGTCTTACAATTGGCAACAAGTCGTTCAGAGCCACGAATTCTGCCAACGTGTAGCTTTTCTCGATTGAAAACCCTTTCAGTAGACCAGCAAATAGTGCTCTGTTTCACAGTACATTCCGTGTCATGAAACAAGCAACCGAGCGGGGAAAAAAGGTCAATAGACGTTACCGAATGAAGGCAGTAACCCGCAATGAGTGCTTGCTGGTAGAGCTCAGAAAGCAGACATGAGGAGCTCCACATTCTGCCAGCAGATAAGCTACGCAACAACTGAACTTGTAAGTAATTTACTCAACAATAAATCGTTACACAATTATCCTTACCTGGCTCAAGTGAAGGTGCGATGACAACGATCAGCTTTGGCATGTTGTGACTTGCTATTTCAACACGGTTAAGTCAGTAAGCACAGCACAGAACGAAATCATTCAACGGTGGCTCTTTACCGTCGGAGAAGAGTTGACGTATGTCGTCCTTTTCAAGACGAGCTGACAAACCGTTTGGAGCTTCAACAACCAAGTGATCCTCGTCTCCTCCACCGGTATAAAATACCACATCGCTGTCGTCGTTTAGAGCATCTTCCATCGACTGAACGGTCGCACAGTGATACGACGATGCCTATGCAGCAAGTACTTGTCAGATCGGCTCGTTGCAATATACATCAGCTTTCCAAAAGATCCTTACATCAAATGAGCGGATCGAGCCAAACGCCGACAGAATTTCCGATAATTCTTCACGATAATCGAAGTTCGCTTCCTGATGGCACATTCCAAAGTGAATACCGCTGTAAATACAAAACAAATCTGCAAAGCTGACACACCTCAAGAGGCTGACTTGTCTCTGAGAAATCCTGTGTGCTTTGATCAGCGAATAGAACTGTCTGCAGACCATCAACAAACTGATAAGTTCCCCGTACCAACCAAACGTACCGATTTAAACGTACGCATTTAACTCTCCGCGCCAAGATCGGAACTTGCTGAACTGGTTTCGCTTTGTTCGTCTCTTCCCTCTTCGTCGATAAGTGAGGAGCCTCTGTTGGAGTAAACGGTCCTGTTGGTATCTCATGACGCATCTCATGTACAATAGTTCGCGTTGGTGCTGTAGCCGGAGCCGCAACGTCCGATTCCTGTACTGGAGATAGTCCATGGCGATTGCTCAGCTCGGTAGAGAATTTATCGCTGGGTCTGACGAACCGCCCATCGTGCCTACTCTTTCTCCTCCTTCTATCGCTCTTCTCCGGCTGTGGATCCGACCGAACCAGCTTGTATTCCAGCGAGACGTCCTCCTGTTGGAAGGATCTAAAGGTTAGTGCAACCACAGAGCAATTTTAGATACAAAACGCACCTCTCCTCGTCGAATCCGCAGCAGTGTGACTATATCTTCCAACTCCAATTCGTGCGACTGGCCATTTTTAAGCTGTACTCCATTTATCCTGATTCCGTTGGTGCTCGTATCTTCGACGCGCGCTTTAACGCCCATTTTATCATTATCATCTTGCGACGACAAGTTCTCAACGTGAATCAAACAGTGGCGACGACTCAAGTGTGAGAGCATCCCGCCTCGAATATTATCGCCAAACACATCCTGAAACTGATCTCGTCCCAGCACAATTGGGCTCGGCTGCTGAGCTAGCGCTATCGTGTACAGATTGAGCAGCTCCATTCGATCCCGTTCGACTTTTGTGAGGCTATTGGCTAGTCCATCGCAGAGAGTTAAGACGACGGACTCTTCCAGATTGTTTTCCGTGACGGAAAGATCCCCAAGCTTATCCTGGGAGAAGGAGATATCTGGATCAGGAATGTCTGGGCCTGGGATGCCTATGAGCTCTTCGTCGCTAGAGACGTCGTCTGCGTCAAATGATAGTACCGGGGCGTTCCCACTGCTGCGTATACCTGAGTCCAATAGGGGGGTTCTGACCCCTTTAACTGGCTCAAGGTTGCGGCGTTGGCTTAATGGGAACGGCTGTCTCTTAGTAACCTGCTTGGATGAAGGTGCCTGGGGCAAGAATCGAGAACGTTAGTGTAAACTACATACTATCGTAAGTAATTTTCAAGCTTACAGTAGTGGACGTGGCCGAGGGTACTCGATATGGAGTGTTTAGCGATCCAAACGCTGGGGTTTTGTTGCTCTCCTGAGCTCCTGTTCCTATCAAATGGGATATCTGCATCAGTAGACAGTTAGTACCTGCGTAATGTGTTAAATAGGAAGAGATCTCCGTATTACCGTCGGCAATCCTCGATCTGCGCGTGGTTTTTCTCCAATAATTCCTGGATTACCCTGTAGTACTGGACTCTTCTGTTCCTGTATAAGGACCTGACTGCCTAGAGGCGAAATTCCCGACCCTGTAATGCCTCCTTCCAGTATTCTAGCAGATGGACTCGTCTTCTGCTCGGGTGCATGTCCTGATGTCCCTAGTGGCGCTGGAATTGTGGGTCTGGCTTGGCCTAACGTGAATATGGGCCTGCCCAGCCCGCCTGTCGTCTTCATTTCGAACGGAGCACCCACAAACGGCAGTGTGGGCGACACGGGGCCTGACAGAGCAGCCACGAGCTGAGCTGACGATGCGACCACGTCCTCACTCAACCGACGGCTCTTAACGGCGCCAGTGACGCGCCCGCGCTCTGCTCCAGCTCCTGCAATACCCACATGCCCCCCTACCGACGTAGACAGCCCCACCTGCACGTCCAGTAGCCGCGGACTGATGTTCTCGCTCTCGGACAACCCGCGCGGCGAGCGACGGTCATCATCTTCCAGTGCGCGCTTGCGGCGCCCTGGTGGTTGGGGCTCCATGAAGTTTCCCTTTTGCCCGCTTTCTCTTGGGTTGGAAAGGTTTCTTGTTGCAGTCAGCACTTCAAGATTGTGAGAATGAATAACTGTAAAAAATCATGAAGAAAATTGACGTTGGATGTGCAAAATTGACCTCTAAAAATTATTATGCTCTGGTGGATCCTGAAAAGCCGCACGACTTGTAGCCGATATGTAACCGAGAAATGAATCTGCGTTTTTTCTGAGTCAATAGACTGACGTTTATGCGGAAACGCACGCGAGGCTGTCGATGAAGGCAGCCCGCTGACGATTTGGAAACCATTTTGCAAGCTGCAAAAAGTGAAGCTTTCTTCGTCCCACTACTGACCTTAGTCTACAGGAATCCTAAGTTAGGATCAAAGGTCGCGTTAGTCAGCAGCACTTTTCATCTATTTCGAATGAACGCGATAAATTGTGGATAGCGAGCTGAACACGCACAATAATTTAGGTGCTACACTGCCGTAGCGTTTGTCGAACGGCGAAAGCGAGCTTTTATACTCGACCACTACGCTTTATACAGGCTGTAGGGGGAGCCTTGGGCGCACTAAACACCTGGTTGCGACCAGCACCCGCTCCGGCATCTACTACCAAGGCCACGACGCTGTGGACCAGTGCATACGACGGCGCAATGGCCACTCTTAACGTTGCCAAGCGGAAGCGTCGCGTGCAGCAGCTGCTACAATTAGTGACTACTGTGCCAGCACTGAATAGTGAGAACATAACTTAGTAGGCTTTCTGAGCTTAGCTAGAACGCTCAAAAATCCTTGTGCAAGAAATGATGTATACTGTGCTCAACTATTTTAATGTCACCTGAAGCGCTGCGAAAATCTGATGCGGCATTCGCTTAGTCTTTTCCTTCTCGGACGTGGGCAGACACCTCTAGTGTTTTCTGTTTCTGAAATTTTCTGCAGACCCTTAAAAAAAGTTTTTTTTCATTCTGGTATTTATGTATTACACACGAATATATCGATACTGACATCCCTGCCGTTATCGACCAAATTTCGACCCGATCCCCTCGTTCTACTGTCCAAAAAAGCACAACGCCTTCCATCGCTCATGTCGAAGCGCAGATTGGCTGAGGAGGCTGCGGATGAGCGCCACATCATGCGCATCATGCCACTGGGCGCGGGCAACGAGGTAGGCCGCTCGTGCATCGTGCTCAAGTTTAAGGGCAAGACCATCATGCTGGACTGCGGCGTGCATCCAGGTTACTCTGGCCACGGCAGCCTGCCCTTCTTCGACGGCGTGGAGGCCGAGGAGATCGATCTGCTGCTCATCACGCATTTCCACATCGACCACGTGGCCGCATTGCCGCATTTTACCGAGAAGACAAACTTTAAAGGCCGCGTATTCATGACGCACCCCACCAAAGCTGTCATGCAGATGATGCTACGAGACTTCTTGCGTGTATCCAACATCTCGGTGGACGATCAGATCTACGACGATAAGGACCTCAACAACTGTGTCTCCAAGGTCGAGATCATCGATTTCCACCAAGAAATGATGCACAACGGCATCAAATTCACGCCCTACAATGCCGGCCACGTACTTGGTGCCTGTATGTATCTCATCGAGATTGGCGGCGTCAAGGTGCTCTACACTGGAGATTATTCACTGGAGAATGATCGTCATCTCATGGCAGCTGAACTACCAGCCTGTTCGCCCGATGTGCTCATTGTAGAGTCCACATACGGCGTACAGGTACACCAGTCCGTGGTGGAGCGTGAGGGACGGTTTACTGGACAAGTGGAGGCGGTGGTGCGTCGTGGAGGCCGCTGTCTGATCCCAGTGTTCGCTCTGGGACGTACACAGGAGCTGCTGTTGATTCTGGACGAACACTGGCGCTCACACCCAGATCTACAGGACATTCCGATCTACTTTGCGTCCAAGTTGGCTGCCAAGGCGCTGCGTGTGTACCAGACGTACATCAACATGATGAACGACCGTATCCGCAAGCAGATCGCCATCTCGAACCCGTTCCAGTTCGAACACATCTCAAACCTCAAGAGTATGGATGATTTCGACGACTCCGGTCCGTCCGTTGTGATGGCCAGTCCTGGTATGCTGCAGAGCGGCGTCTCTCGCCAGCTCTTCGAGCGCTGGTGCTCAGACAAACGCAATGCTTGTTTGATTCCCGGTTATGTGGTCGAAGGTACGTTGGCCAAGAAAATTCTATCCGAACCGACCGAGATTGCGGCGTTGGATGGTCGTATCATTCCCATGAACTGCACGGTGGAGTACATTTCCTTCTCGGCACACGCAGATTTCGTTGGAACCAGTGGATTTGTGGAAAAACTCACGCCGCCTAACATTGTGCTCGTTCACGGTGAGAAGAACGAGATGATGCGTCTGAAATCAGCGCTGAACAAGAAGTTTAACGACCCAAAAGTCTACCATCCGAGCATCTCTACGCCAGCCAACATGCAAGAGATTGTACTCGAGTTTAAAGGTGAGAAGATCGCGAAGGCTATCGGAGGTTTGGCTAGTGATCAGCCTAAGAATGGTACAGTGATCTCTGGTCTCTTAGTGGAGGTGGATTCACAGACGCATCTGATGGACAAGGAAGACCTGTCGACGTACACGAAGCTCATCTCGGGTACCATTACGCAGAAGCAGCACGTGCCATTCGAGTACAACTCGTTCGACGTGTTAATCACGTTTATCCGTCAAATGTACGAGGATGTGGTACATTTGGAGAAGGAGAACCGCGTCGTGGTGTGCAAGCAGGTGGTCGTGACGCGCTGTGCTGTCGCTAAGGGCGCTACTGAGAAACTCGTGGTGGAATGGACGTCTGCACCGACCGCCGATATGATTGCTGACTCGGTGATCGCTCTCGCTATGCACGCACAGGCAAGTCCAGCTAGCTTCAAGCTGAGTAACCAGCCGACAGCTGCATGCCCCCATGACCACTCCAAGAAGACCGAAGCGAATGGCAAGGACACAGTGAAGACTGAAGTAGAGAACTCCGTAGTGGAGAAACAAGAAGGGAACGAGGATCCTGCATCGGATGACAAGAAGGAAGCGCACACTGATCTTGAGAAGGCAGCGCGGGAGCTAGGAGATGCTGACCAAGATGCATTGAACCTGTTGATCGTGTTCCGTCTCCTGAAGGATCAGTATGGAGATGTTGACTTGGACTTCGAGACCAACAAGATTCACGTACGAACACCGAGCGGTATTGACGCTGTGGTGGACCACGCCTCACAGGAAATCGAGTGCAAGGACGCAGCGTTCAAACTCAAGCTGCAGACGACAATCCGACGCATCGAAGGTGCACTCAAACCCATCGCGACCACGTGAGTTTGTAAGGTGTAGGCTAGCAGAGCTGCCTTACGAAATATATTCATTGCGCTCCTATTCTTTCTGTTCAGTGTCGTTCACAGTCAGTTCCTCAAGCTTCTTAGTCGCTTCATCCTCTTCTTTCTTGGCCAGCCGTTCCCTCGCAGCTAGCACCTCGTCCATGTTGAGTTCTGTGCCATCGTTTGCGATGACAGGCTCTGTAAGAGCTCGTCGGAAGTAGGTCGAGCCACGACCGAAGGAATCGTTCTTCTTGCGAATCTCCATCGTCGGATCCGTCGAGATCAGCAGCTCAGCGCCTTCCTTACCAGACTTCACCTGTCGCTTCGGGAGCGTGATCTCCTTGGGGAAATTCTGCGTCTCCGGGTCGTAACCAAATCCACGCAGCGGTAAGTTCGCTGTCTTGAGAATGTACTGGAACTGCTCCTCCGAATAATGACGGAACGATCCGCCAATTTTGCCGCTGCGAGGCTTATAAGGTCCAGCCTTGTCACCACTAGTAGCCATGACATCGTGAATCCGCTGTTCCCACTCCGTGCCTTCCAGAGTCGTCAGATCCGTCAAAAACAAGAACACTCGACGCAATGTTTCCTCCCGATGCATCATGAGGTCCTCATAGCGGACAACAATGATAGGAATGTCCACTTTTGTGGTCCAGTAGCGATGGAACTTCATCCAGACGTCGATCTCGTTGCGGAGCAGGCCGTCCCATCGGTCCGCAAAGCGCTCGTACTGGGACTCATGTAGACTCTTGTTGTGCGTATTAGTGAGCGTCATGTTAAAGTACGAATCGATGGCATCCCATGGGTTGCGCACTACCAAGATCGCCTTCTTGACGGGGAATTCCTTGTAGCCCACGCGCTCGGGGAAGTGCGTCTTGACGAACCAGACAGACTCGTCCACGACGCCCTCGCCTTTCATGCCGTATTGCTGCAATTCTTTGCTAAGGGAGCGGTCCGGACGAGTGTCACAGCCTGTGTAGACGCCTGTGACCTTCTCTAGCAGGCCACGCATGAGCGAGTTGCCGCAACGTGGGTAACTTACGACGGCGATGCGCTCTCCGCCGCGTTCTCCAGGTTGCAGCCAGCGCATTCCGTCGCTATCGGTCATATTTTCTGTGATGGCCTTGAATGCAGAGTGGAGGTGTTGCAGAGCTCTCCGTGTGAGGATCACGAAGGGGTTCCACGCCAAGTTGAGCTCGATTCTGCAATGTGATTGAGTGGCAGTCAGAAAAACAGACATAAACGGGCTGGGATGGGACTCACAGCAGGCGAGGAAAGAACAGCAGCAGCTCCAGGTACATGTGCAGCAGCCACACGCCGCCCTCTACGAGACTCATAAGCGAGGACGATACCCGCGATCCTTCTCGTCACGCTGGGCGTGATAGTGGCTTCCTAGCTGACGTCCGTGTCAATTCTTCGCACATCAAGGCAGATGTTGCACGAAGGGTTAAGTTGCAAGTGGTTTAGGCAACTTAAATAATTTAAGCAACATAGAAACTTCGACATGGTAACATGAACATCATGGGCATTCAGTATGGACTCCATCCTACCTATCGTCAAGACGGAACACCATGCGGTGGATATCGAGCGTCTCGGTAAGCGTATCAGCTCAAACTAACTGCTTCGCGCAGGTGCACGCCATGCTGACAGATCGCCACGCAGAACAGGAGGCCTACCAAAACCTTTCCGCGTGGTGATATGTAAGGAAGCAGAAGAACGAACTCAACGACTTGTTTGTACCATTAGCGAGGCGTACGGGGACCCCGCAATGCTCGAACGACGTATCCTTACATTGCACAGCTCACAGGGCAGATCAATCGGTGGATACTCTAGCACACCATCTGATCAATGAGTATCAACAGGTATTGCAGAGCTGCTTCGGATCGTCAGCAGATACTATTGCATCTGGACTGGAGGAGAACGCAGTTCTACCGGTAACTATACCACTAGAGGACGTCTGCGCCGCGATAGAACGTCGCGCTTGTTTTTTGCTGCCTGCTTTGCCACAACACTAGCCTCTCGATGCCGTTGTTCCACCCGCATGTCATGGCTACCTGAAGCTCAAATTGATAATTGATCGATGCTTTTTTTTTTGAAGAATGCACGTCTACAAGCTCAGTACGATGTGATCGAACAAGCGAATCAACGTGCTAGAGAGCTGAACGCCGTTGTGGCACAGAGGAAGCGGGCACTGTCTTGACAACGAAGTTATGCAAATAAGCATTATTACATATGGTGATGGCATCGCAAAAAATCAAGAATAACAACTGACGATGCCAATGTTGCGTGAATTCGCACACAAGATTATGAATTGGTGGTGGCAAGCCGATTCTGTTGCATACAGCCAACTACTATATATCACAACGAATGGAGCAAAGGCCCCTTTGATCTTCTGATATCGATAAGTGATTGGTTGCCAGTATGAAAACTCACAGCATATTCTTTTGATCGACTTGCCCACTCGCAACTTTCTAGAATGTCGTATTTATCTATCTCTTCCTAATTTTTATCATGATTATATCATTACTGGTTTACTATGATAAATGCGTTTATAATCCAATCAGAAGTCCGGATTTGGGGGACGTGATAAACACACTTAAAACTTGGTTGTAACTTACTTCTGGAAGAAGCAAGAAGCGAATAATACATGACGTATTAATGCATTTGTGGAGGTCAGGAGTAGGTCAGATCTATAATATATTTGTGGTTTTTGTGCTTAGCTAGCTGCATCTATACATGTATTTTATTTAGTCTTCTCTTCCCATGACAAGATTTGCTCTATCTTCCCCAACTAAAACAATGTCAAAAACAATGGACATCAGGTACCACCGGCAATGTCAAACTCGGCTTATACCTTGCGTCCTTACCACCAACCCAATACACAATTGGAGAGTTGCTGCAAGGAGTTAGAGGTATCCTCTGAGGATAGAAAGGAAACCGAGAGTGGGATCACGTTTGAGTGGAGCATCATGATTGAGATGCTGTGCGCCTTAAGCCGTGGTTCATAATGTAGGGCGACTTAAGTTGCACCATGTCTCAATGATGATGCTCCACGGTTGCCCTACATTGCCTCCGTTAATGCGCATTGAGATAGTCGCCACTGCGCGATAACAGCTCAACAAAGCGAACGCGATCTTGATTGTCTTCAACACCACCGGATTTGCGCTAACTCGGTCGAGTTGAGACTGTAGGTTTGATGCTCGAACTTCTTCTATCAATGAAAGATGGCCATAATCGGGTTAAGATTTCATAGACATGGGCCGTTATCGTTGCGAGCAATCATCGCTTCCGTGCGCGCAATCATAGAATTATAGTAGTGACATAGTTTTGCAGAAGTACTACAAAATAGCAATCCCGTTTTATTATGATAAGAAATTAGCGACTAAAGAAAGCTTGAAACTACTATTGTTCAATAATGCGGTGATAAAGCTTTAGATGAAATGCTGCCCCAACGCGCAATGAGATTGGTGAACCTTATTGTTTCAGATGACTACATCTGTGGGATGCGATTGGTTTCAGAGATGGAGCAGAGTACGTCACCTGGGAAAACAATGAAATGCTATATCATAGTTAAGTAAAATTCATACCGTGATTTGAAGTAGTATAATAGTAGAATTATACTAGCATAGTACTATTAAATCAAGAACGACTACAGTAGTAGTGTGACATTACTATCGACACTTCAACTTGTACACTCACCACTAATGACCAGCCCGAGTCGTGGGAATGTGCTGGAGTGCAAGCCAACGATGACCGCTACATGTAGAGTCTGAGTGAGAGCCTCACTTCAGAATTGGGCTTCTGCCGCTCAAGCTGCCCAGTCTCTATCGTGACGGAGATAATGTCGGAGTCATCGACTCCGGCCACACCAGCTAGTGTGCACTGGGGCGAAACCATGATGGCGCAGGGCCCCGAGGCTCTGCACAATTTCATGGCCGAGACCTTCAAGGCTGCCACTGGCGGTGTCCTGCCTCAAATGGAGGTACGTTTCAATAACGTGTCCATTTCCGCCGACGTCACTGTGACCCGCGAGGTGACGGCCGAGTCGGAGCTACCCACACTCTACAACGTGGTGGCTCGAGCACTAGCTAACCTCAACCCGATCAAGAAGAAGGTGGTGCGCAAGGAAGTCATCAAGAACATCAGCGGTGTGCTCAAACCCGGTACGATCACGTTACTACTTGGTCAGCCTGGATCGGGCAAAACTTCGCTGATGCGAATCTTAAGCGGACAGTTTCCGGTAAAGAAAAATATTACTGTGGAAGGCGAGATGACGTACAACGGATTACTACAAAAGGAGATAGCCAAGCGTTTGCCACAGTTCGTGGCATACGTGACGCAGTACGACCGTCACTTCCACACACTCACTGTTCGTGAGACGCTGGAGTTCGCCTACGCTTTCTGCGGAGGAGGGTTATCCAAGCGTGGCGAGGAAATGCTATCTCGTGGTACCCCCGAGGCTAACGAGCGTGCTTTGGCTGCTGCAAAGGCTGTCTTCTCCAAGTTGCCTGACGTGATCATCGAGCAATTGGGACTGCAGATCTGTCAGGACACGGCGATCGGCAATGCGATGCATCGAGGTGTGTCTGGTGGTGAGCGTAAGCGCGTCACGACTGGTGAAATGCAGTTCGGTCATAAATATATGACGCTCATGGATGAGATCAGTACGGGTCTGGATAGTGCAGCCACGTACGATATCATCAAGACGCAGCGTAGTATCGCCAAGAACCTCCACCGGACGATCGTGATCGCGTTGCTGCAACCTGCTCCTGAAGTGTTTGAGTTGTTCGACAATATTCTTATCCTGAACGACGGCGAGATGATGTACAACGGTCCTCGTCACACGGTGATCCCGTACTTTGAGTCGCTGGGCTTTAAGTGTCCTCACGGCCGCGATGTGGCCGACTACTTATTGGATCTGGGCACGAACCAGCAGTACAAGTACCAGGCTGCTCTCCCTCCTGGAATGGCAAAGCATCCTCGTCTTGCTAGTGAATTCGCTAAGATGTTCCGTGAATCCTCGCTATACTCGGATATTATGGAGGAATTGGCGTCACCGATCGACAAGGAGATCGTAGAACGTGTAGGTGATAACATGGATCCAATGCCGGAGTTCCGTCAGACTCTATGGGAGAACATCCGGACGTTGATGAGGCGTCAATTGATCATCATCGTGCGAAACGCAGCGTTCATCCGGGTACGAACGTTCATGGTTGTGGTCATGGGGCTCATCTACGGTAGTACATTCTACAACGTGGATCCGACGAATGTCCAGGTGATGCTGGGGGTGATTTTCCAAGCCACCTTGTTCCTATCACTGGGTCAGGCGTCGCAGATTCCGACGTACATGGAAGCTCGAGCCATTTTCTACAAACAACGCGGTGCAAACTTCTACCGAACGTCTGCGTGGGTCATCGCCAACTCGATCGCGTTGGTTCCTCAAGCACTTGGGGAGATTCTGGTGTTTGCTACGTTGGTATACTGGATGTGTGGCTTCGCTTCTACTGCTTCTGCCTACATCATTTACCTGATCTTGCTGTTATTGACAAATTTGGTGTTCGCATCGTGGTTCTTCTGCTTGTCGGCCATGTCACCGAACTTGGATATCGCCAAACCCATGTCGACGTTCTCGATTGTGTTTTTTATTCTGTTCGCTGGGTTCGTGATCACCAAAGATCAAACGCCTGGGTGGTTTATATGGGTGTACTGGATCAACCCCATCGCGTGGTGTCTGCGTGGATTATCAGTGAATGAATACCGTTCAAGCGCCTACGATGTGTGTCAATACGGCGACATTAACTACTGCTCCGATTATGGCATGAATATGGGCGAGTACTATTTGTCGCAGTATGGTGTTCCATCGGGAAAATTCTGGATTTGGACTGGTATTTTATTCATGATCGTGGCGTATATCTTCTTCATGGTATTGGGCTGCTATGTCCTCGAATACCATCGATACGAAGCTCCGGAGAACATCCAGTTGTTACCGAAAACTGTTGCTGATGAGGAGGAGATGGAGAAACGAGGAGGTGACTACGTATTGGCTCAAACCCCCAAGAACTCATCAGCTAAGACTCATTCGGAAGGAGTTGACTCTGGCGAAGTTGTGGTGAATGTACCGAGACGTGAGAAGCACTTTGTGCCTTGCACGATTGCGTGGAAGGATCTGTGGTATACCGTACCATCGCCACATGATCGCAAGGAGAGTTTACAGTTGTTGAAAGGCATCAACGGATACGCCGAACCAGGCTCATTGACGGCGTTGATGGGCTCTTCTGGAGCAGGCAAGACGACGCTGATGGATGTCATTGCTGGTCGTAAAACTGGCGGGAAAATTGAAGGGAAGATTTATTTGAACGGATACGAAGCCAGTGACCTGGCCATTCGTCGTTGTACCGGGTACTGCGAGCAGATGGATATTCACTCTGAAGGCTCTACAATTCGCGAGGCGCTGACGTTCAGTGCTTTCCTTCGCCAAGACAGTACGGTATCATCAGCTAAGAAGTACGACTCGGTGAGTGAGTGTTTGGACTTGTTGGACATGCACGACATCGCGGACCAGATCGTTCGTGGTAGTTCACAGGAACAGATGAAGCGCTTGACAATTGGTGTGGAGCTGGTAGCTCAGCCGAGTATTTTGTTCCTGGATGAACCGACCAGCGGGTTGGATGCTCACTCTGCCAAGTTGATCATGGACGGTGTTCGCAAAGTGGCCGACAGTGGACGAACCATTGTGTGTACGATCCACCAGCCTTCTTCCGATGTGTTCTTCCTGTTCGATCATTTGCTGTTATTGAAACGTGGTGGTGAGTCGGTGTTTGTTGGTGAATTGGGCCAGGAATGCCAAAATCTTGTGGATTATCTGGAGGCTATTGAGGGCGTGCCTGCTCTCCCAGACAAGCAGAACCCTGCGACGTGGATGTTGGAGGTGATTGGCGCTGGCGTGGGTCACCAACCCACCGATGTGACAGACTTTGTTCAGCATTTCAAGGAGAGTAAGGAGGCTCAATACTTGATGGAATACCTTGAGAAACCGGGCTTGACCCGACCTACACCGGAGCTTCCGGAGATGGTGTTTAAGAAGAAACGTGCTGCTGGCCCGTTCACCCAAATGTGGTTCTTGATCCAGCGCTTTGTGGTCATGTACTGGCGGACTCCGACGTACAATTTGACTCGTTTCGTGATTGCTCTGGGACTCGCTCTCGTATCGGGTTTGACGTACATCAACTCGGAGTTTGTGTCGTATCAAGGCATCAATGGTGGAGTGGGTATGGTGTTTATGACGGCACTTTTCATGGGTATTGCAACGTTTACAGGTGCTTTACCCATTACTGCTCTGGACCGTGCTGCATTCTATCGCGAACGCGCTTCTCAGACGTACAACTCGTTGTGGTACTTTGTGGCTTCGACTGTAGTGGAGATCCCGTACGTGTTCTTCGCTTGCCTGCTCTTCACGGTGATCTTCTATCCGATGGTGGGCTTCCAGTCCTTCGCGTCAGGAGTGCTGTATTGGATCAATCTGTCTTTCTTCGTCTTGACACAAGCGTACCTCGCACAAGTACTGATCTATGCTTTCCCAAGTATTGAAGTATCAGCAATTGTCGGTGTACTCATCAACTCGATCTTCTTGCTGTTCGCCGGCTTCAACCCTCCGTCGTCGGCCATTCCGAGTGGCTACAAGTGGCTGTACACGATCACACCGCAGCGATTCTCACTTGCTATCCTTATGGCTCTAGTGTTCTGTGATTGCCCGGACGAACCGACTTGGAATGAAACGCTGGGTGCTTATGAGAATGTGGGCTCGAACATTGGTTGTCAGCCTGTGACTGATTTACCAGTGACGATCGACCACATTACGGTGAAGGGATACGTTGAGTCGGTGTTCAAGTACAAGTACGACGACATCTGGGCCAACTTTGGCTATGTGTTTGTGGTGCTGGGCATATTCCGCGTCCTCGCTGTGTTGTCACTGCGGTACATCAACCACACGCAGAGGTAGGCGGGAAGATGCTACATGGATTTCGTTTTGTCTTGGTAACAAATAAATTCTTTTTTTTTCATTTGTCACTTGAGAGAGCAAAAAAAACAAAATACAAAAGATGCCATAGTATCTGGTATTTTGTCGGATGTACTACGTAGTTTTCTGTAACGAGCAGCTTCTCTCCTTGTTTTAGACCCAGGACCGGCAGTCGTTCTGTTCGGGTTGTTACTCCCAGTGATGTGGCCTACTTTAACGTTCAAACGTTCAACACGAGGTTATATCCCTTTGCCCCCTTGTGTTCATCCTCATTCACAATAGTGACGACCATCCAAGAGCCCACAGTTGCGACATCGAGTTCATCGCATCGGAGGTGCGCTGATGAACGTGCTCTCTACAACCGTTTCTTTCGCATCCGCCATCAAGGGAAGCGCATTAAGACAGTGCTGTCGCCGCCTCCGTATGGAAGCCAAGTTGCTAACGAGCTGCAGTAAATAAATTGCTTTAGCCGGTGCTGGTGGTGCGAAAATATGCCCCACCTCAGCTTTTTTTTTTTTGATCGTGTTTCTCGAAATACAGGCATCATATGCACGTTTTATGCAGATGTGATGACTCCCCCATTTTAAACTACTTAATATCGATTGGTCAAAAATCGAAGTGACCCGTCCATGTATCTTTTGATCGTTGATTGCGAGCCCAGCTGTAAGTGTCTGCATCCACGGGCAGGAAGGTCATTGTACAATCTGCTGCGTGAGCTACAAGTTACAACAACTCCTCTGATATTCGTAGCTGCCGACTACATCCAACTAGTGGTTGAGGACGAATCTACAGTGATGATGGGTCCAGTTGATCTGACGTCGGGCAAGACCATGATGGCCAATGGTCCGGATGCTCTGCATCTCTACGTGGCCGAGAAGTTCGAGGCTGCAATGGACCGCAAGATACCGCAGATGGAGGTGCGCTACCACAACCTGAGTGTCACGGCCAACGTGGCAGTAACCGGTGAAATCACGGCAAAATCGGAGCTGCCGACAGTGTTCAACACTATCAAGCGCAGCCTGGCCAAGTTCGCGTGGAACAAGCGCGTGGTGCACAAAGAGATCATCAAGAATGCAAGCGGGGTATTCAAGCCGGGTACTATTACACTGTTGCTGGGCCAACCAGGGTCAGGCAAGACATCTTTGATGCGTGTACTCGCTGGTCAATTCCCTAAGAGTGGCAACGTCAAGATTGAGGGCAATGTGACGTACAATGGTGTGCCACGAGACGAGATCGGCAAGGTATTACCGCAGTACTCAGCCTACGTGACGCAGTTCGACAAGCATTTCCCTACTCTTACGGTACAAGAGACACTAGAGTTTGCGTATGCAGTCTGTGGCGGTGGCATGTCGAAGCACACGGAGGAGATGCTGAGTCACGGCGCTCCAGAGCAGAATGCAGAGGCTTTGGAGACCGCTCGCAAATACTTCGAAAACTTCCCAGATTTGGTCATCGAACAGCTTGGATTGCAGATCTGTCGAGATACCATCATCGGCAGCAACATGCTTCGCGGTGTATCTGGTGGAGAGCGTAAGCGCGTGACCACAGGAGAAATGGAGTTTGGTATGAAATACATGACGCTCATGGACGAAATTAGTACTGGTTTGGACAGTGCCGCGACCTTCGACATCATCACGACGCAGCGCAGTATCGCCAAAAACCTTCACAAAACGATCGTCATTGCATTGCTTCAGCCAGCGCCGGAAGTATTCGACCTATTTGACGACGTGATGGTACTGAACCATGGTGAAATCATCTACCATGGCCCTCGCGACCAAGCAGTACCGTATTTTGAAACGCTAGGCTTCAAATGTCCTCCTCGTCGCGATGCTGCCGATTTTTTGTTGGATCTTGGGACGAAGATGCAGCTGAAATACCAAGTAGGGCTTCCTCCTGGAATGTCGAGACACCCTCGCCTTGCCAATGAGTTCTCCGAGCACTGGCGTCAATCACCTCTGTACGATAAATTGGTTCGAGATATTGAGGCTCCGTGTGACCCCAATCTCTTAAAAGACGTCGAAGAGCATATGGACCGGATGCCAGAATTTCGTCAGGGCTTCTGGGAGAGCACGAAGGCAGTGACTAAGCGACAGTGGAAGCTTACCAGTCGGAACAAGTCCTTCATCAAATCTCGGGCGTTGATGACTGTGGCCATGGGATTAATCTACGGTAGCGTATTCTACCAAACAGACCCGACGGATGTCCAGATGATAATCGGGGTTCTGTTCCAGGCAGCAATGTTCATGAGTTTGGGTCAGACTGCACAGGTCCCGACCATCGACGCCGCTCGGGAGGTTTTCTACAAGCAGCGCTCCGCCAATTTTTACCGTGCAGCGTCGTTTGCAATCGCAAACTCCTTGGCGCTAATCCCGCAGGCTATTGCAGAAGCACTCATCTTTTGGTTCATTGGTGTATTGGATGACTGGCCTTGTCCGTCATGCAGGACATTTCATCATCTTCTTGATATTCCTGGTCCAAACCAACCTCGTGTATGCGTCGTGGTTCTTCTGCTTGACTGCTATCTGTCCAAGTTTCAATGTCGCTAAGCCCATGTCGACGTTCACCCTTTCGATCTTTCTTCAATCTCTTTGGTGGGTTTGTCATGGCCAAGAACGTGATTCCAGACTGGTTGATCTGGGTCTACTGGTTTGTGCCCGATTCGTGGACTTTGCGAGGATTGTGTGTGAACCAGTATCGAGCCGCGAAGTTTGATGTGTGCGTATATGACGGTGTGGACTATTGCTCCGAATATAACATGAAAATGGGCGAGTATCTTTTGAAACAGTACGCGGTGCCATCCGGTCACAGTTGGGTGTGGATTGACATTATCTACTTGTGCTGCATATACGCGTTTTTCATGGGACTGGGAGCATTCGTACTGGAGTACAAGCGATACGATGGCCCGACTACTATCTCTCTTAAGCCCAAGCACGAAGCTAACGATAATGAGACGGATTCAACGGACAGCTACGTTTTGGCAACGACTCCCAAGCACTCGGGGACTATGTCTGGTTCTGGGTCTCCAATGGGTGAGGTTGTGCTGGATGTGCCTAGACGTGAGAAAGTGTTCACTCCCGTGACGATCGCCTTCCAGGACTTGCACTATTTCGTTCCGAAACCTGGCAACCCGAAAGAGTCTCTCGAACTACTCAAGGGTGTCAGTGGCTTTGCAGAACCTGGTTCACTCACAGCACTGATGGGGTCTTCTGGTGCTGGCAAGACGACGTTGATGGACGTGATTGCAGGGAGGAAGACCGGTGGTAAGATTACAGGCAAGATTCTGCTGAATGGGTATGAAGCGAACGATTTAGCTATTCGACGCTGCACCGGGTACTGTGAGCAAATGGACATCCACTCGGACGCGTCAACCATTCGTGAATCACTTATGTTCAGTGCCTTCCTCCGACAGGACAGTGAGATCCCTGACAGCAAGAAATATGATACGGTTAACGAGTGTCTCGACTTGCTGGATATGCACGAGATCGCAGACAAGATTGTGCGTGGATGTTCACAGGAACAGATGAAGCGCTTGACGATTGGCGTGGAACTCGCAGCGCAGCCGAGTATTTTGTTCCTGGATGGACCGACCAGCGGGTTGGATGCTCACTCTGCCAAGTTGATCATGGACGGCGTTCGCAAAGTGGCCGACAGTGGACGAACCATTGTGTGTACGATCCACCAGCCTTCTTCCGATGTGTTCTTCCTGTTCGACCACTTGTTGCTGTTGAAACGTGGTGGTGAATCGGTGTTTGTTGGTGAACTAGGAGAGCGGTGCCACAAGTTGGTGGACTATCTGGAGGCCATTCCTGGCACGCCGCCATGTCCGAAGGATCAGAACCCTGCGTCATGGATGTTGGAGGTGATCGGTGCTGGTGTAAGCAGTAGCTCCAAGAACTCTACGGACTTTGTGAAGTGCTTCAAGGAGAGTGAGGAGAAGCGGATTTTGGACGCTCAACTCGATCGACCTGGTTTGACTCGCCCCAGTCCCGATCTCCCGGAAATGACATTCCAGAAGAAGCGTGCTGCAAGCTCCATGACTCAAATGCTCTTCTTGGTGAAGCGGTTCAACGATCGCTACTGGCGCACACCGACGTACAACATCACGCGGTTCGCCATTTCGCTTGGTCTGTCGATCTTGTTCGGTATCGTTTACTCCGGTAAATCGTACCAGTCGTACCAAGAAATCAACGCTGGTGTTGCCATGGTGTACATGACAACCATGTTCAACGGTGTCATCTCGTTCACGGGCACTCTTCCAATTTCGTTCGCAGAGCGGGGTGCATATTATCGGGAACGCGCTTCACAGACCTACAACTGCTTGTGGTATTTCGTGGGCTCGACAGTGGCGGAAATTCCATACATCTTTTTCAGCGGCGCGATATTCACGATCATTTATTACTCTTCTGTTGGATTCACGAATGTGGGATCAGGCTTCATGTACTGGATCACGATATCATTATTTGTGCTCATGCAGACATATTTGGGCCATTTCTTCATTTACGCACTGCCTACGGTGGAGGTGGCAGCCATCATGGGCGTCCTGTACAACGCCATCTGCCTCGTTTTCGCGGGTTTTAACCCTCCGGCCGCCAACATTCCCCGCGGATACCATTGGTTGTACTTGATCACACCGCAGAAGTACGCAATGGGATTAATGAACTCGCTCGTATTTACCGATTGTCCTGAGCTTCCGACGTGGAATAATGAGACCGACGAATACGAAGGCGGAAGTGGTCTATTGGCTTGCCACGAGTTGACGGACGCCCCCAGTTCGGTCGGCCACACGACAGTGAAGGAATATGTGGAGTCCAATTTCGGATACAAACATTCGGAGATCTGGAGTAACTTCGGCTACGTGTTCGTTTTCATTGCGGCGTATCGCGTCTTTAGTCTGCTGGCATTGCGCTTCATCAATCATCAAAAGAGGTAAATGCTCTAGACAAACCTGACGTTATTGTGTTGCTCTTTTACCAACCGGTAGTATATTTCCGGTAATATTAAAAATTACCTAACGAAATAAAAAGTAGTATACTATATTTTATAACGAGCAAATATAAAACTTCGAGGGCGCGCAAACGTTTGCGAGCCACGTTGTCAGACGAAGTGGGTTAAACGGTGCGTTTAGTGCGGTACCCATGCATACAACAACCATGTCAAATCCAAA